ATCAGGTGCTAAATAGCCTTGACATACAACGAAAATTTCAGCTGATTCATTACGTGAAGCCTAGTAAAAACATTATAAATGAATATATAATAATAAAGTGGTAAGCACAATTTCTGTAAGATTAAAATATGAAACATGATGTAGTTGCTATTGCTAACCAGCAGCTATTTGTTTTATTCTATCTCTTTTGGAAGGAAGGCAAAAGAATACCCGTACCCTTTAGCTACCTTGCAGTACAAGATGTTGCCTAGGTGTAGATTCAGTATTCCGATATCTTCCCTACAACTATGATTATTTTCAGCTGTGAATAAAAAACTGGTCTGACAAAGAGTTTTTGTGGTTATTTTCTTGAACTCTCCATACACAGTAAATGACTACATATTAACTACAAGAGCAAATTTATGTTACAATGAAGTCAGTATACTATCGAACGAGTGATCTGAGATAAATAGCTGCTAGCGACTTGCTTAGGAATATTCCCTATCTGATGATACTAAAGTTTGCACAAAGCATCATGCGGATACGTATCGAATAATGTAGTCTCTGGTTTTTATACATTAGAACTGAAGTTTTTCAATAGATTCAGCATTTAATTCTCTACAAAATTGTACATAAATGTATCTCATAGAAATAAAAGTAAACACATTATTGTAGTAATATTACGAACATACAATACCAACAATGTTCAATAGTACTTCCAGCGGACGGATCAGAACAATTATGATTTCGTAGTTTCGAAAGTCTTATGTTGTACTACATTCAAGAACTTTTCTAACAAAACTTTATTACATAAAATAACAGCTAAATAAAAAAAACAAGGGTGTTTTAACTGGTAAAAATATGGAGATCCTCATTCTTTATAGATCACTCGTTCTTAAAACACGATGTTATCGATATACGGTGTCTGATCGTGTATTAATGCTTGTGACACAGAAAGAGAAAGAGCAAAGGCTTTCAGCATTATTTGACATTCGTAACAAAAACTGTTATATCAATAAATAGAGCCTGTCTTGAAGTATATTTACTATGCTTTCCACGGATGAAAAGTTTACCTTTGTTCTTTCATCTAATTCGCTGTGTAGAAGACGAATGTTACTAAGGTTTTCTTGGCACACTCTGCAGTAAGGTCCAAACTACTACTCTTATACTTAAACATTCCTTTTTTTTTTTAATATTGTGTTGTAAAAGAAAAAAACAATTTAAACCTGAGGTTTAGTTGAATCAACACGTTTGAACATTTGTTGAAAAACCCATAATAATGAATAATAATCTTTCGAACGAAATAATTTAGTAACAAATATACCACCTTTACGTAAAAATTCTGTTGCTAATTTAAGTGCATTTAATGTTAAAACGTCTACAAATAAAATGATACTTTGTTTTTTTAGATTTCAAAAAGAAATGAATAAATACATACTCTGTTGATATGCATCATGTATCCAACTTTTACCAACATTAGGTGCACCATCATGAAGAATAACATCAGCTTTAAATGTTCCTAGATCTTTTTTTAATAGCTAAACAAAAATAACAACAATCACATAGCTTCTTAGAAGGAAAGATCTTTGGTTGTTTTTTTTCTTCTCTATTTACTTGTCGACATTTTTCAGATGTAATATCTTCTTGATAAGTTATTGTATGTGGAATGGGTTTTATTGGCGCTAAATCCACACCTAACAAAAAAAGAAAAGTCATAAAATTTAATAATATTATTTATATTTTTGATTAAGAATTTTACCAATAATTAAACTTGCTACAGGCATATGTTTTTCAGCAACTTGGAGCCAACCACCAGGTGCTGCACAGAGATCAATAAGAACACGAGCATTTTCGAGAAAACGATGTTCACGATTTAATTGCAGTAATTTAAATGCAGCACGAGATCGAAAACCTATTTGTTTTTTCAAGTAATAAAATTAGTTGTAATAGAATATGAAATAATAACATACCAGATTCTTTAGCTAAATGATAGAATTTATCTCGACGAAGTTTTCCTGTTTTAGCTTTTTTGCCCATGTTTATCTGAAAATCTATATGAAAGAAAATATATCATAACAATTTTATTTATTTTAATACAAAGAAATAAATATTTATTCACTAGATCAATAATTTAAAGTTATGTAATTACAATAAAGATCAATTTAATTTAATTTAACATCAGAATTTTTTTGTTTTGAATTGTATTCCTCTAAAACTTGTTTGTTGTAGATTCAATCAATGTACTCTCAAAACTATACATAGAAAGTCACACACATTATATCTATATATATACGTCATAGACGACTCTAATATATTCACAATCTAAGTAGACTAATAGGAATCTCATTGTAATTCTTCAGAATGTATCAAGTATCTTTCTAGGGAACCTTCTTGATTGTTTAAGCATTTTCCAATTGAAAACATTGCCATTCGATAGGTTTTTATCAGTAAAGAAAAATTATATTTCGATTCGATGTTTAGCCTATGAGATCTTTCTATAAACAGAATTTAATTGAGAAAAATTTAATTATGGAGTTGCTGAGAAAGAGAAGGTTATGGAATCAAATCAAAATAATTTTTTACATTATTTATCACAACAAAACCCATAGTAATAGTCTCAATCAGAAAGCAATAAAATAGTTCAGTAGATTTTCATGTTCGTTCTGTAACAGTCATATATGGGAAATAATATTTCACATTCTTTAAATTTGATAAATATCAATCGAAAACAATGTGTCATAGTCTCGAACCTTTCCTGTAATAAGAATAAGATATATAATTGCTCCATTAGTTATTGTTAAGTTCTTATGTAAAACAATATATAAATATAGATACTTAGTACAAAAATAAAACATACTATAACAATATTAATGACTCATAATGCATAAATATTAAAAAAAACGAATAACTAATGCAAATTCTTTAACATAAAACTTATAAATCTCACAAAATAAATCTAAAAAAACGCAGTCAGATTTTGATATAATATCATTCTAATAAGAAAATAGTTCAGTCATTTAATTTTTTATGTTTCTTTAGCTTATGCTCACCTTTCAAATAATAACTACTCCTCTATAATAATAATGAGTATGAACTAAAATAAGAACGAATGAGAAAAAGAAATTTTATGAAAAAAGAAACTATAGCTAATACTTATTCCAGAACTTTATTCACTAACATTTATAAAAGAGATAGAAAATAGATTCGTTTTCATATATTTCTGTATTTATTCATTCACCCAACTAGCAATTACATTTTGCACTTGAATCAACCATTCAATAAGCAGAACCAATCAATCATTGTACACTAACGACATCTATGTAAACACATTCAAATCAAATTAAAATCATTTTTGATATGCTCTAGTAGCAAAATTTTTGTTTTTTTCATTTAAAACTTTTTTTTTTATAAAATTAATTTACTATATCCGCCATATATTCGTCCAATGTCCTTCGGTTGTTCATATTGTATTGGCAGCATAATTCTCCTTCCTCAACACACAATGTAATGTATTTGTCAGGGTCAAAATCAAGAATATGTAATTCACATTTACTTATATTTTATTTCTAGATCTTTTCATTGCTACAACATAAACAACAATGAGTAAAACAAGTGCAAATTTTGGAGGTACAGTTGGTTGGGATGAACAAACAGTTATTGGTAAACGTGCACCACGACCAGGAGAATTAAAAAGTGAATCAGCAATAGCTGCAGCTGAACGTGCTGGTGTTGCTATTGATACATCAAAAAAATATGCCGCTGGACATAATAAACAACATGAAGCAGCAAAGAATACGGCAGTTTTAGATCGTGAAACTGAAGAATTACATCATGAAAGAGTTAATAAAGATGTTGCACGAGCTATTCAACAAGCACGTGTTGCTAAAGAATGGACACAAGCTGATTTAGCAAAACATATTAATGAAAAACAACAAATTGTTAATGAATATGAACAATCAAGAGCTATTCCAAATCAACAAATTTTAAGTAAAATGGAACGTGCTTTAGGTGTTAAATTACGAGGAAAAGATGTTGGACAACCATTTACTACTGGACCAAAGAAGAAATAAATGATTTGAATTGAAAAAGACATTTTTCTCTTTCATTCTTTTGATTTATTATGTATATTTATCCTTCTTTTTTTTCTTTTTCAAACTTATGCTAACATTTTCTTTTGATTTTCTTTTCATGGATTAAAAAGATTAAAAGAAAAACAAAAAAAAAAAGCAGCCAACAATTAGCGTAAAAAATTCAGATTATTGTTGTGAAATGCTTGTAGATGAGTTAATGACAATAGAGCTTTCATTTATATACATTCTTAATTTTTGTAGATGTATCAATTTCTTAGATTTGTTTAGTCTAAAACATAGTTATTCGACGATACACTCAAATTAAGGCATGATTTCTTTTTATGCAGATGTTAAATTCAATATTCTTTATATTCATTTTAGTCTTTCTTTATTAAAAAACAAAAACATGGATCAAGCCGATGATTTAAAAGCATTCGAACGTCGTATGATCGAAATAGTTTCTTCCCTTCAACCATCAATATGGCGTTGGCGTGTTATATTACTTATACTTATTGCAGTCACACTTGTAACATTTTATGCATTAATTACCGATGATTCATATACGAAATTACCAACAGTCAACACATCTAGTGATAATTCTTTTCTATCTTCATTATATTCAAATCTTTTTCGTAAAAAAATTTATTTTTCTGTTTCATTGGCCTTACTTATATTTGGTTTTTTATTTGGTATACATCGTAAAATGTTTTCATCATCAATAATCATAGCAAGATTTCGTTATATACTTGCTGATTATAATATGTCATGTGATTCTGATGGTCGATTAATATTAAAACCACGACCATCATCATCATATCTAAGTGGATCATCTTGATAATTTTCTTTATGTTGTATTATAAAAATTCTTTCTTTTTTCTTTTTCGAAATATAAAAAAAAACAGATATTATTTCGATTCATATGATTGTTTTTGTTCCTTTTTGTTTTTTAGTATGAGTACAGAAATAAATCCTAATTCTTCTCCATCAACATCACAACAACAAATAACACCTGTACAACGAAAATTACAGAAAATTCTCGATTTAAAATTAGAATCAGATAAAGATTTAATTGAATCTTTGAAATATTTATCAACTTTTTTTAATGAAAATAGTGTAAGAACAAGACGTGCATTAAGAAGTACAATTGAAAAACGTAGTTTAACATTAAATGATCAATTTGAAGAATGTTTTCGTGTTGTTAAACAACAACTTGATCAATTAAATGATACAGTCACATCTATGTCAACTTGTTGTGAAGATATGACACAACGATTAAAAGTATCAATATATAAAAATTTAATATTATTTGTTTTCTTTTAATTAGGAATGTTTTTTTTTTTTGTGTGTGTTAGAATGTTAAAGCACAAACACAAGAATTAATAAATAAAACAACACAAATACAAAATGAAAAGTAAGTTAAATTATAACTTTGAGATTGATATTTTATTTTATTTTTTTCATTAGTCAAGAATTAAATATAAAATCTTGTATAACCGAAGGATTTATTGAACGATTTCAATTAACACCTGAAGAATTAAATGCATTAAGAACAACACGTGATGGATTTTTACATCCAGTAAGAAGAATGTTTTTAAATTTGGATTTTCTTTTTGAGCTCAAAACTTAATAAATGTTTCTATTGTCATCCTCAGAATTAAGTTTAAAGAAGTAACGGAGACGATGATTACCAGTCTTAAGTAGAGCGCTGTACTAGTCTAGATGTACATGTATAGTCTAAAGATGAAGGTAAGATAAATCTATGATGATCTTAGACTCATATCGACTTTTTTCGATCGTGGAAAGTCTATTTTGAGAAAATAACTGAATTTTAAAAAGCATCACTAAACCATGGGAACTAAGCCTATCTCGAACAAGAAAATCGAACTCGAGCATTTCGACAGACATCTCCTAGATTCGGATTCCTAAGCCTCTAAAACTGTTAGTCTGTTCTTTTTTATATAAAATTCAGCTATTTTCTTAAAGCAGACTTCCGCTAACCGAAAAAAGTCGTGATGACTCTAAGACTATCATAGTTTTATCATGCATTTACTGTCTTTATCATTAGTCTCTACGTGCCTGTGTAGACTAATGCTAAGATGTACATAAGACTGGTGCCATGCCATCATAGTATGGTAATAGGTAGCGTATCGTCACCGTTGCATTGCTCATTAAATCCTTTCATCGATCAAACTTCATCAGTTATAGGATCAATGAAGGAGAGATAAATTGTCTAATGTTCTCTCGTTGCGAATATTTGATTCAAATCTGATGTGGTTCTTTTTATTTTTATAGGAATTTTTTAATGTTCTCAAACGTGTTAAATCAATTCATCAAGATTGTAAATTATTATTGCGTACCAATCAACAAACAATTGGTTTAGAAATCATGGAACAAATGGCACTTCATCAAGAATCAGCTTATGAAAGATTATATCGATGGTTACAAAGTAAAATACATTTTCGATCTTTTTTATCGATATTTTAATTGAATATTTGTTTTTTTTTTCTTCATGTTAAAAAGGTGAATGTCGACTTCTAACAACAGAATCACCAGAAATTTCAACATTAATTAGTGAAGCACTTGACGGATTAAAAGAAAGACAAGTTTTATTTAAGTAAGCACTGAACTTAATAATAAATTGAAATTCAGAAATTTTTGCATACTGAACATGACAGTGTGTATCAAAGACCAATGGTTTGTTTTTCTTAATTTTGACACTTTTATAATATATAAATTGAATGTTACAAAAGCATTATCTAGTAGTAAATATCAAAGGAAAAATTGACACTGAGAAAAATTTCTGTAAGATTAATTCTCATACGTATATTTCACTCTCATCTAAATCCTAACTGAACTTCTTAATCTATCAATTTTTATTTTGATAAAGCAAGATTGTATATTATTTTTTGTTAGATACGTTCTTGATGAATATGGTACTGCTCGTCGTAACGCACTTGTTCGTGGTTTTATCGATGCATTAACTCGTGGTGGTCCAGGTGGTACACCACGTCCAATAGAATTATCTTCTCATGATCCATTACGTTATGTTGGTGATATGCTTGCATGGACACATCAATCGACAGCATCGGAAAAAGAATATGCTGAAATTTTATTACGAAAATTAAAAAACTGGAGTGAATTACAAAAAACTATTCAAACACTATTAGGATATATTACTGAAGGACTTTGTCGGTTAGTTTGATATTTAATTTCTTTTATTTTTCTTTATATTAATTATATTACAGACCATTACGTGTTCGTCTTGAACAAGTTCTTGTTTCTCAACATGAACCTGTAACATTATATAAATTAACAAATTTACTTAAATTTTACGAAACAACTATAAAACAATTATTACCTATTGAATGTCAACTAGCACTTGTACTTGATGAAGTTAGTAATTTATCATCCAAAATGTTTTTAAATGCGTATGTCAAAAACTTTCTTTTTTTTTTTTTATTTAAAAAAAAATCAAATTCATATTTTTTTTGTGTTTCTAGTTTGAATGCAACAGCAACACGTTTAATTGAAAAAGTTGATATGCCAACAAATGATTTAAATTTATCCGATGAATTACGTCGTACATTAGCATTATTACGTGATATACTTGAAACACATTCAACATCAATGATACCATTTGAATCAAAACGTATTGATTTTCAACAAATTGTTTATTCAATTGTTGATCCATTACTTCAAATGTGTTCATTATCAGCAGCAAAATTAGGTGTTATTGAAATGGCTGTTTATTTAGTTAATTGTATTAGTGCAATACGAACAACATTAGCTGTTTTTGCATTTACAGATGAAAAAATTGAAATGCTTGAAGGACAGGTACCATGAAAAATTTCCTTAAATATAAAAAAAATTGTTTTGTAAAACACGATCTAACAGGAATATTGAAGTATATCGAGTAGAAATTCGTATCACTCACAGACCGTGACAGATATTATCGATATACAATCAAAGACCGTACATCAAAAATGCGCCACTAACACTACATAAACTACTTTCTTGTCAAGGTTTGGAGTGCATTGCTCAGTCCGAACTTTTCTTATTTCAAGGAAAATCTTCTACCTGAGAGAACAGAAAAAATCTGATTTTTCAATATTGAAAAAAGATTTCATCTGATTTTCAATCGATAGAAATATATTAATTAATCAAAAGAGACTAAAACCAATTGAAATCTAATTTGAAAACTAAACAATCCGAATTAGAATAGCTTCATTTTAATAGATTTTTACTCAAAAAATAATCAATTTTATTCTAATTTTTCATCATAGTTTCGTGTATGGGTTTTTGCACCTTGAAACTATTAAGAATCAGAAACCGTTATTTTACGAACGTTTTGGATGTTTCATTGAGCCAATAAATAAAATTAGAGAATTGATACACTTCAGTGACATCCTTCATCTACACATAAGAAAAAGTACAATATGAATTGCATTAAGTGCCATGAATGTCACTGAAAAATAGTAATCAATCTTACTCTTTGAAATTGATCAGCGAGTATTTCACTCATGAAACCTTATATTAATGAATGGTAGTCTTCAAAAAATTGAAGCATCTACGAACACATTTTGCTCTTTCGGCTCAATAAGTAATTCATTTTATTTATCATATTGCTTTTTTTCAAGTCTTAAAATTATTCGATCTTATTCAACTCGTAGTCTCTATGAGGATGAGCTCTCTGCAATATTCTAATGATTCGTGGAGCTTTGACATGTAGAAATTCATTCTATCTTTCTGTGATTAGCGACAGCGTCTACATCGTATTCTATATTTTAATCTTGTATGAATGTTGCTAGTAGATTTTTTATCTCGTTTGTTTGATAAAATTTATAGATCGACGCAAATACAGATACATTAATTGGTGAACAAGCTACATATATACTTTTACGAACGGATTTATTAGATGCTTATCGCATTGTTGAAAAACAACAACAAGAAGTAGATAATAATGTAACTGCACTAGCACTTAAACCAAGTATGGATACTGTGACATTAAAAGCAGCTATGGTAAGTTAAGCATAAAGTTTTATGATAAAGTCATCTAGGAGGGTTTAGGTTAAATTCGATTCGTATTTGGCATCACCGGATCTTTATATAATGCCACAATTAAAGTATTTAACAAGTGCTATTATTAGGTTAGTTAATAATAATGAGATTTTTATTTCTATATCATGATTTTATTTTAGAGAAAAAATAAAAAAACGTTCGGTTGAATTAATATGTGCAGCTTATGCCAGTCTGTACTCTGCTATAATGGATCCAAAAAATAATTATGCAAACCCATATTCAATAATGCCACATACACCTGAACAAATAGTTAAATTACTTTCTTAATCATATTGGTGATATTTAAAAAAGACATAACAAAACTTGTTTTGAAATTAACATTATTTTAAAAAAAAAATCTTTCATAAACTTCTTAGATCTATATGTGAAAATTTCGTTGAATAAAATTAATTTTTCATTGATATTTTATCGGGTGATAAGCATAAAACGAGTTTTTTCTTGATCAAATAGTGAAAAAATTTTCCTGATCATTATGGATATTTATTCATAAAAATCGAAAAAATCATCATCGTTTTTGTCATGTGAATTTTTAACATGTTCTCAATCAGCATTAATTCTTTTAAGGAGTCCCTCCTCTTTTCGATTCCGAAATTTTCATATACTTTCTCCATTGCTCAAGTGTAGTATGTCCGAGCAAGTTGCAACTTTTTTTTTCTACTGATAATAGAAACAGTCTAGAATATATGAGTTTCTAGGTTTTTCTTTCGAAATATTATGTATCACTGATATCTACTAGGATTTTCAAAAACACTCTACTCGAAAAATATGCATGTTATGATGATTCTCTTTGGATTCGGATATTTTTATTTGAATAGAAAAAGATAAAAGGAAGTCTCATAACATAGGCATTTAAAACAGAGTCTAATATGTGTAAAGAAAGTGTTTAGCTCTATGAGATTTACTGTGGGTGAGGAAGGCAGACGATAACGGAAGTCATTCTGAACTATTGGGACTTTAATGTCTCCAACATGGAGGGTATTCAGCAATCTTAAGTTTATGATAACTTTTGATTCACTCATCAAAATCTATCTGTTCTCAAATTTTCAGATTTTTCTAATGAACTGTTTCCTAGAAACCCCTTTAATAGTGTTTCCTAAAGTAATTACAAACGAACGATATGTTGGAATGAACTCTGTGTATCTCAAACAGTACTCATGATGCCGAAAGTTCAAGAATTCATGAGGAAGATCACGGTATGACCTAAATAGTATCATAAAAATGCTACATATCCATAGCAATAAGCTACGAATTCGAATTCTGTTCAAATTAACCAAAGGTCATTAAGACCTGAATGATATGGATAGTGCTATCTTAAAATTGATTAATTGATTGAATTCATTTATTCGAATTTTTCATATATTTCTGCATCGACATGTTGAATAATTAATGTTTTGTCATCTACTTTTCACGATGAACATAATTTTCAATATCTGAATTCTGTAGCATCTCGACATTTGAAACGATTGAAATAGCTAATTATTATATTCTTTTATTGATACATTTTTCTTTCTTACATACATAGACTACCGTAAAACAAAGAATGACTAAAATATAAATAAGAAAGAAATATTTATGTAGTTAGTTCGTTATCTTGGCCTTCCGGTTGAATTTTTAATAAATGCAATTCATCTTCAAGCGAACGAATTTGATTATCTTTTAATGCTATAAGTTCACGTAATGATTGAATTTCTTCTTGTTGTTTAAGATATTCTTGACGATACTAAAAAAGAAAAAAAAAGCATGAATTGAATTAAAAATAAAGGACTATTCTTTCTTTTTACTAACATCAATTTCATTTATTTGTTGTTGGTGTTGTATAGATGAATAATTTTGATTTGTATCAAAACTCCAAACTTTTTTCTTTATTTCAAAATTATGTTTATTTAATGGTTGTATTTGTCGTGCTTGATTTTGAAATTTATCTCTGAAGGAAAACAGAAAAAAAGATTAGGATTTGATGAAAAAAACAAGATATAGAAAACAGTAAAATAAAACGTGATTTCATGTTTAAATTGATCATTCAACTACTTCTTTGATATGATTTATTAATCTCGATTACTAGGTTGTTCTCAATGAATAAAATCTGGTTAGATATAAAGTAGTTCTTCAAAAATTTTTAATAGTTGCCGTTGAGATAATATTGTGTAATCGAAAAAAAAAGTATTTGACGATTATGCAACTGACAATAATGATGTATAATTATTTTTTATTATTATTTAAGAGTAATGACAACAGTTAATGTGCGGATCAAGTATGAATTCAGTTATTTAATGATGAAATAAATTTATAGGGTGAATGAATTTGATTTTATAGATTAAAAGTTAGATATAGATTCGACATTATTACTAATTTGTGAATTTCAATGAGTGTATATTATAATAATAAAGAACAAGAAATAGATTCGATCATTGAATGAATAAAATTTTCAGCATATTCAGTTGTCACATGCCGTCCAACTTCATAGTATGATTACGACTAGGTCACTGTGAAATTAAGAAAAGCTAAAAGAATTCGGACTCAGATCTACTGATGAAGATTTTTGGTCAACAAATGCAAAATGCAGAGTTTCGATTTGCTATTGGATCTCTTAGTAAATTTATGAATTTTGAGATAGTCTTGGAAATTTCAACGAAAACAAATATTTCTTTCTCGAGATCTTCAATTTCTAAGTGCACATGACTACTGTGTTCTTCTATTGTGAATTGTTGTTTGGTTTTTGAAAACTACAGATTCCGAAAATGGCATGTTTGTTTTCATTGAAACTTTCAATACTATTTAATGACCAAAAAAATAAAATCTAGTAAATTGACAAAATTGAAAATCAAAATTTTTTAGTTTGCGTTTATTGGCAATGTATTACTTTCAGTAAAAATCTCATTAAAATGGTTACAACTTTTTATTAGTAGGGATTAGATTTAAATCCTTTTAAGCTTTTCTTAGTCTCACACGAACCTGTTCATTGTCATAATATGAAATTGAACAAAATTCACTTCTTAGGTATGTTTATTTGCAAGAGTGATCAAATTCATGTGAATGTCTCAATGTTTATAAAAAGTATTTTATACCTAATATAATGAAATTCTGTACTTGTTGCTGGCATTCTTAATGATTCAATTTTTCTTAAACCTGTCTGAGTTGTTTGTTGTTTAATGTCAACTGGTAATTTTTCAATTGATACTGATAAAGAAGATGATGATTGATCATTAGTATTAGATTTCAGTGTGGGTGTAACTTCTGCTATAGGTAATTGAGTTATTCGTTGTGATATTCCACGATTTGAAAAAAAAACAGGTGTACAATCAAATGTTCGATATGTGGTAATTTTTGGCATATTTGTATTGTCTATACGATCTTTCATTGATACTAGTATTGGATCACGATCAATACCAGATATCCATTCATCAGCTGATAAAGCCGGATATGGACCGGGTGTATCTGGATATATATCATATTGAAATGCTTCAGCTTTTCTTGGCACTAAAAATCAAAGACAATCGAAAGAAATAATTGACTTGATCTTAAAAGATTGTTCAAAATTTGAATGAATTATTTCTAATGACGAAATGAAATTCACTTTAAACAATGAAGTCTCTTGAGACAATATGTATTCGTATAGATCTTAAATATTGATTTATTATATTGTAGAAAAGTAGACGAAAAAACAAAATCAAACATCGAAATCTCTATAGAAAATTTTTTGCACAATAAGATCTTCTTCTATATGGCCCTAAAAAATAGAGATACGCAACGCCATAGAACTTAACTTTTATTTTCTTAAATCTCACTTCAACTTCTAATTAATTGTTCAACTTGATCAGAACTTTGATTATGCAAAAAATGAACTTATTCCAATGCAGTTTTAAATACACAAAAAAATTTTGAATATAATTAAATCTTCTATTGATATCAATGACTAGCAGATCAATTTATTCTTTCATAAGTTTTTCACATAAACTTCAAATATAGGCAACTTCATCATGTTTTGCTTCAGCTCTATATAATTTTATTTCAACTTTAGTAAGAAAAATCTTCAACTTCGAAGTTAAGACTAATTCCAAATTAGAATTTACTTGTCTCTCATAAAAAAATGATCTGATTCTTATCTTACAAATGACTTCTCATTAAGAATGATTCTCTTATATGTAAAATAAATTTGTCACAATACAAACCAATCATAGATAAAGGTTCACAAATAAATCCAGTAGCAAATAATTTATAAAATCGCATTATCTCATTACGAGTTACATCAAGACCAATTTTTGGCATTACACCTTGAAATATAAAAGATTAGAAAAAAAAGAATTTATATTAAGATTAATTTACCAAGACATCTTTGTGGTGATGAAGATTTATATTCCGAGAGAAAATATAAATAAGGTTCATCTTGATCCGTCAATTCATAATAACGAATATTACCATCACCCTACATGGATTATCTTGTTGAAATATTGTACAAAAACGAAAAAAAAAAATAAATAATTCTTTTCTTACTTTTCCAGCTAAATAAATTATTCGTGTATCATAATCATAAAATGGAATGAGAACTCCGGCACTAAAATCGATTGTTTCCATTGTTAATGGATTTGATAAATCATTCTATATAAATTTAAAACAAAAAAGAAAAAAAAAACATATTATTGAATTCATTTTACAAAATTCATACAGCATTCCAAATTGCTACTTGTCGTTCAAATTGCTTTCCAAAACCAGTTGATAAAAGGCGATTTGTATCACCTAAAAAAACAACTTTTGATGTTTTTGGACCTTGATGACCAATACCATTCTATAATTTATTAAATAAGATTTTTTTTTTTTAACTAAATTCAATTATCATGGTTCTGTTTACAGCAATTATTCGACCTGATCGAGCTTCAATAACACGTATATGTTTATCTTTACAAGTTGTTGCAAATAATGAACCATTACGATTCCATGTTATCGATTGTATTGCATTTGTATGACAACGATAAATTTGTATTGGTTCAGCTTTTTCAACATTCCATAAAATAACTTGATAATCAAAACCAGCACTTAATATAAGATTTTCTGCTGTTGGATGCCATTCAATATAATCTACACGTCTTTGATGTCCATGTAAATCAATTTTCCATTGATATGTATCAATTTTTAAACCATCATTTGGTATAGACCAAATTTTAACTGTTCCATCATCTGAACATGAAGCTATTTCATTATCATTAAATGGATTAAATTTAAGATCAACAACAGGTCCACGATGTCCTGTTATACGAGGATGATTAACATCA